TCTCATGTTAAGAAAAGAGAAGTTTCACATACAAAATGTTTACATTTTTTTTTTCCTTTTTTTCTCTTTTTCTGTGACCGGCAATGGATCGCAACCTTCAGTGTCGTGCCCGTACCGGACCAGGACCGGCAACGGGATCGCAACCCTCGGTGCTGCCCCCGCGCCTCGCTCAGCCAGTGAGCGGCCTGTCTGTATGTGGGATCCGAACCCTTGGCGGGAGCGCCGCTGCGCTTCCCAAGTGGTGCACTGTACCAGTGTTCCACCAGGCCGGCCCAAAATGTTTACATTTTCAAAAAACAATGAAAGGATAACCCAAAACTATTACATATGGTTATATACAGGAGGAAGGAAGAAATACGGGTGTGGGACAGAGATAGAAAAGGGGCATCTCTGAGTGTAATTTATATTATAGTTTGGACTTTGGTAAATGTTTTATATCACTAAAAATCATAATTAAAACAAAAAGAAAAAAATGTCTAGCCACTGTGGACCAGTTTGTATCAGAACAACTTAAACAACTAGAGAAGTTGATAAAATCCCAAAACTCAGCCTTTCTTTCTTTCTTTCTTTCTTTCTTTCTTTCTTTCTTTCTTTCTTTCTTTCTTTCATAAAGATGACTGGTAAAGGGATCTTAACCCCTGACTTGGTGTTGTCAGCACCATGCTCTCCCAAGTCAGTGAACCAGCCATCCCTATATAGGGATCTGAACCTGTGGCCTTGGTGTTATCAGCATCACACTTTTCTAAGTGAGCCATGGGCCGGCCCTAAAAACCCAGTCTTTTTGAAGGCATCATAAAAATATCACCAGCCATGACATGAGGGGCTGAGATTCTGGGAAGTGTTTTTAGGTGAGTTGGACATTCTGTGATGCTTTTCCTTTCAAGGCATTTGCTGACTTATAAATGACAGAGGGCCCTCTGCTTTTCCAGAGACTGGAAAGCTGAGCAGAGCTTTTGGTAATTTCATAGATCTGGGAGGAAAAACTTGCAGTTCAGAGGCCTCAAAAACACCCTAGGCTCGCAAGTAAGACCCCAGAAAGATTATGCACTAAGACTAATCATTAATCGGAAGTAGATAAATTCTCGTAAAAGCTGAATTCAGCTTCACGCAGATCAGTCACAGGCTGGTTTAAGGTAACCTGCTGCTGTACTGGCTGTCCAACAAAAAGAAAAGTTAGCCCCCTCTAGATGAAAAGAGTAGCACCCAGAGCTTCAAATTATCTCTGTAATTTGTACTTCACAATGTCCTTCACTCAAGAAAAAGTTACCATAGTGCTGATATCAGTGTACTGCCAATGTCAGTATAGTGCTGATGTCAGTATATGCTGATGGCAGAAGAGTGCTTGACAAAAAAAGAAACAGGAAAAGTTACCAGGTATTACAGAGATAGAATAAAATGACCAAATTTAAGAGGAGCAGGGGGAAGAAACAAATTAAAGGGAGATCCAGGTACTGGCATTACCATTCATGGACTTTAAAATAACTGTCATTACTGTGTTCAAAAGAAAAGAAAGCAAAATGGATAATTTCACCAGACAGCTTTAATCTATGAAAAAAGATAAAATGAAACTTTAACAGCCGAAAAAATAAAAACTAAGAACTCAGTAGATGGGTTTGACAATAGTTTAGACACAGAAAAAGAGAGAATTGGTGTATTGAGTAACAGGTCAATAGAAAAAAATCAAGAATGAAATGCAGAAAAAAGAAAATATGAAAAGGAGAACAAGAAATATATGGATACAGTGAGATCTAACTTAAATGTTACCGGGGTCCCAAAAGCAGAAGGGAAAGAGAAAATAGGGCAGAAACAATATTTGAAAAAAAAAAATACTGGTGGAGCAATTTCTAAAAATGATGAAAGATATCAAGTCACAGATTAAAAAACCCTATTAACCAAAAGCATGATGAATAAAAAGAAATCCACAGCTACAACCATCATAGCATAACTGCTGATAAAACAAAAAGAAAAAATTTAACAATATCAAGAGAGAAGACAGATTACATTAAAAAGTACATCAAGGGCCGGCCCGGTGGCGCACTGCTACAGTGCGCTGCTTGGGAGCGTGGCGGCGCTCCCGCCGAGGGTTCGGATCCCACATGCAGACCGGTTCCTGCTCACTGGCTGAGCATGGTGCGGGCGCAACACCGAGGGTTGCGATCCCGTTGCCGGTCCCCTCCCCGGTACGGGCGCGACACCGAGGGTTGCGATCCCGTTACCGGTCAATAAAAAAGACAAAAAGGAAAAAAAAAAAAGAATGAAGGCAAAATAAGATGATTTTATGCAAAGAGAATTTTCTGTCAAAATGTTTGCATCAAAGCTAAACAAAACAAAAACACAAAAAAGAAAAATGAACCACAACAAAAAACAGCTGC